CGCGCTGGTGTACGAGCGGCACGGGGAGCCGGCCGACGTGCTGCAGTAAGGGGCTGCGGGCCGGGCCGGGGGCTGCCTGGGCCCCGCTGTTTGGGGATGGGCTGGTTGTGTCCCGGGCGGCAGAGCCCCTAGCAGGGGGCAGCGGGTCTCCAGCTGCCCCTGCGGGCCCAGGCGAGGGGAGATAATGCTGGAGCCTTTCCCGCTGCTTCCCATGCAGGGTGCCGTGCTCCGTCGGGTGCGACCGAGGCGGTTCTGGCGTGGGAGCGGAGAGATGGCCTGGGCCCCGCTGTTTGGGGATGGGCTGGTTGTGTCCCGGGCGGCAGAGCCCCTAGCAGGGGGCAGCGGGTCTCCAGCTGCCCCTGCGGGCCCAGGCGAGGGGAGATAATGCTGGAGCCTTTCCCGCTGCTTCCCATGCAGGGTGCCGTGCTCCGTCGGGTGCGACCGAGGCGGTTCTGGCGTGGGAGCGGAGAGATGGGAGCACATGTGGGAGTGGGGCACCTGGGTGGGCGCGCGGGGTTCGAGCCCATCCTTGCTGCGTGGCGGTAGGTGTGGGGTGACCGCGCTGGCTCCACCCAGGGGCAGAGTCCAGTGTCACCGAGACCGGCATCCGCACAGTCAGATTTCTGCACATTTGACACAATTTCCCTCAGGAATGTAGGAGGCACAAAAACATTCCTTGCTTGATACCTCCTAACCCTGTGACCCTGGTCTTTGCTCGACTCCTTTTTTCTTCCTGTATTATAGGCTCGCCACCTGCTCGCAGATATTGAATAGAAAAGGGATTCAGGTTGACGGTGTGCCCTTGAGGGCCCAGTTAAAAAAAAAAATACAGTTTGTGATACAGCAGCATTGATGCAACTTTCCTGAAATGGTTTTATAAGACTTGTAAGAGAAATAGGAGTGTAAAACTAGAACATGCTCTCGAGCCATTGAAACCTGTCCCCTGTATTCCCAGACAACTGTTTGTCCAAGTGTAATAAAAGCAGAGAAAATTTCATTTCATGTTTGTAGGGATCAGCAGTGGAAAAATTGATGGGCTGTATGGGCGAAACAGTGTACGCGAAGTGCTGTTGACAGCAAAAAATAAACACTCGGGAGAAGAGAGAAATCTATGTTAACTTTGCCTTTCAGCAATCTGGGTGGTGCTTATAACTTGTATGACACAAATTTTCTGATAGAGATGATTTTTCAAGTTGACAGTGTCCTTTGAAGTCTGCACAATCACAGAGTTGTACATAGCTGAGTAGGTAGGAACAAGGCACCAGTGGTTCATCCAGTTCATTTTAATAATTCTTAGACTTTTCACACTTGGCAAGAGGATTTATTTCTCCCGGTTATGTGTTCTTTGTTGCTTGATGGCAAAGGGTTGTAACCATAGCTTTGCTGTTGATTTTTGTTATAGCTTTAGCTGACTAGGTAGTACTGTGCTATTAGATCAGTTGGAATTATAAACCCGGAAGTATTTGTAGTCTAATCCACTTGCCCAGCCATATAATTGCCTTATCTTGGAGTTTGTTCTTACCCCTAGGATTTTCACTTCTAACTTCTATGTTTTGGTCCATAAGAGAATAGAACACCATGTGAAGGCATCTGGTGTCTGGGCTGTTTGGGTTTTTTTGGTTTCCTTTTACTGTAGGTGGAGTTGAGGAAACTGAGACACTGCAGGTCCAACATATTTCATCCAGACATTTAATACCCGAGCGTCAGGGTTTGTATTAGCTCCCTTTGCAAGCTCTGCATTCTTTTTGTTGAAGGACGGTGTACAGGGCAGTCTGGCCTTGTTGAAGAGGGAACAGTCAGCCTTCTTGAAGAAGCCCGACTGTGAGGTATTTGAACAATGATGGCGTGTCCCACCGACAGATTAAAACTCCTAAAAAGTGAGCAGAAAGGTAACAAGCTGTGATGGAACAGTTTGCAAAGGGAGCCAAGCTGTGAACAGGACAAGTTTGCTTCAGGAAGGAAACCTGAAACCCCCCGCTTTCATTTAAAAGACATTTTAGATTGGGCTTATTTTTAGCTAAGGTTAAGACAGGAGATATCAAACCAGTTGCTATGTTTTTTAAACTAAAAACCCTTAGACTATAGTGAAATAAATATGTTACTATGAGTGAGTTTCTTGTTGGATTGTATGCAGGCTTTTGGCTTCTAAAACTGCAAAGTTGGAGGTTGTTCTTTAAGAAGAGAGATTTCAGCATGGACATGCTATAAAATATACTAAAGTATGGCAATTTTAAAAGGAAGGAATCTTGAGGGTTTGCTGTTCCAGTTTAATTGCTTAGAACTACATTTCAGAAATAAAGGGAGCTTTTATTCAGCATCTTAGAGACAGCTTTCTCTCTTTATTTTTCCTACTTAAGCATGCAACATCACTTCACAGTACTTCTGGTTTCTGTGAATTGCTGGGCACCCTCAAGTGCAACTGAAGTCATGGTCAGCTGTAGGTATTAAGCATTCCAAAAGCCGTAAAGATGTAATTCTTAAGAATCCCATGCCCAGTCCTGCACTCTAGTTGGGAGACTTACCTGAGTAAGGAATGAAAGATTAGGTTTGGTTTGACCTGTCAAAATAGGGTTGGTGAAAGTTCCCAAGTTTTGTGTTGGACAAAGACAAAAGGAGAAGATTTCTGATGGTTATCTTGGAGCTGTGCTAAAGACATTCTGTCCCTGTTCCTTACATGAGAGTGAATCTTGCTTAATGATGATTGTACTCTCCATTTCTCAGAATCCCATACATCTCTCTAAGTGTCACAGCGCTGTTCATTTTTCTTCTAAAGCAAAAGCAAGGATGACATTAGCAGTAAAATACCTGACCAACATCTAGTGGATGAAGCAATGGCTTTCTTATGCAATTTACCTGATTAGTTAAGGCCAGTGACCATTATTCATTGGGATGGCATGATATGTTTTAGCAAAGTTGGATGATTAGATTCCAGCAGTGCTCCACTAATACTGTTGTAACTATTAGTGTGTGGGTATTTCCATTTTAAAACAAATTTTTCAAGGGAATTATCAATTACAAAAACATGTTCAACTGTGAAATTTTAGGTAAAGGCCTTGGGTAGGATTTTCTTCTCTTGGTTTTAGGATGATTCACTGCATATCTAGGACCAGTGTGTAAACAGATCAGTTTGTCATAGAAAAGTAGGACTGAAAAGAACCTCAGGAAGTCATCTGGTCCAGCCCCCTGCCACCTCCCCCTCGAGGCAGAACCATCCCTGACTATAAACCATCCTTATGACTTAGAATATCTGCACTGTGTTGAGGGAGGAGAAGCACCAACATTTTTTTGCTTACAGTGCCAGCACCAAAAAACAGTATGACAGAATTGTTCCAATTTCCCCAAATGTTATGATGAATATGCTGGCATGAAAGTGCTAGGGAAATTAAGCTATAGGGATGTGCTGATCCTTGTTAGTTATAAGCATGTTACAACCTGGTTATCCTCACAGTGATTCTAGATGTGGTGTAAAATACTTGCTTTGAGATATCTGTTGTCAATTTGAGGTTTAAATACATGATTGTGAAGCTTAATCATGCTTAATTGTGAACCACAAATATGTGGTGCTTTGAAAAGCTCAGGAGGAGGGTATGCTGCTGGGTATCTCTGAAGCAGTTTCTCTCAACCAGAGTGCTATGAGGCCCTTTCAGTATTGCTGTGGCACTGCTATGGCTCGATGAAATGGCTCCATGCACTCTTGTTTCCAGGACGCATGTGTGGAGTTGGAGCCAAAATAATAAGCCTATCTGAGGGCTGTCCAACTGGTGAACTGACAACCCTCTGCTCCACTGCTGTGGAGCAGGAATCCGTGTGCCACTAGTCCTACCCAGGAGTTTGGGGAACCACCCCCACAGTGTGCTGCCTACGCAGCCCGGGAACCACATGTCAGCTTCATGTCCAGCCCTGCAGAAGGTGGACAGCCCTGGGCTTATGTGATAAACCTAATGCAGGCAGCAGTGGCTTCTTCTGCTACAGCCACTTCTGGGTCTAGCTCTGCATATGCCCTCTGGAAACAGACACATGGAGTAATTTCACCCGGCAGCAATGCAGTAGCCTGGAGAGACAGCCAGCTGAGAAATGCTGTTCTATGGATTTTACTCTAGGCTGCTGCACCATTGCCACCACGTTAGTTTTATCTGATGGAGGGGTGGGTTCCTGCCTGCATTAGGTGAGCTAAGAAAGTACAACAGTGATTCTCAACCAGGGCACCAGTACATTTTGGAAAGTTATGGAGGGGTGTTCTTCCTCTCCCTCTTCCCCACCCCCCCTCCCCTCCTCCTTGTATACTTAGGGCTTTTTTTTGTTGTTGCTTTTTCTTGCCTAAGATACTAGATTTATATATATGGCTTTTGATTGCAGGCCTTTCATCTATGAAGTAGATCACTGCCCAAGGGAACTTGAAATTGAACAATCAAAATATTTGTCTTTAAAAAGCAGCAAAGGGGCATAAAAAGCTGGCTGCTTTTTCTGTTGGAAAAGCCATTATACTTAGTCTAAAGCATTGCAGAAATAGTCAGGTAAAAGTGAACTGCTGGTCTGTGCCATGAACTCATTCCCCCTCAGGGTCCCTACTGAATTAAATATGCCCGTGTAAATGGAAGGTCTCAGGACTTGCATTGACTTCAGTGAGAGTTTTGGGTGCTCGAGGGAAGACTGATCATAAGTACAATGAGCCCCTCCCTGGAAAGATCATTTAGCATCTCTGTGTAATGAGGAAAAGGGAACTCAAGCAGCTGTGGGTGGTTGAGGAAACTGGAACCGTTTGCCTCTAACAAGGCAAACTATCATGTAGAAGCTGTGCTGCACACTCCTGTAGGGACTGCAACATAACAGCCAGGCACAGCCTCCCACATGGGTGGTAGCTACTGTGTACCGATTCGCTCCAAACAGATGCAAGAGAATTCCCAGCAGAGTCAAGCAATAAAACCCCCTCTGAGTTTAGCACAGTGCTGCGCAGAACTCCAGCTACTCCATCCATAAGGACTTTGATATGTGTACTTACTGCACACACACAGATTCCCATTGACAGTAATGGCTTTAAATGAGCCATTGTGTCCATGATCTGTTGATTTAAACCATTGGGATCTTAAAGCTGTGAATAGAGTCATTATAGTTTCCATGGAGAAACCTTCACAATTCTCTTGAAATAACTCGATACCAAACCAAACTTAATTCCAGTAATTCTAGCCAGCATGTTCCACAACAGCTGCTTGTGCTCACTTTATAGAGGCATTAAACATACAAAGAACACTGTTAATGTAACCTTCCAGCCATCTTGTCTAAAACTCCCTTTGCAAGGACAAGCATACAGGTCTAGCTGAAACCAATAAAAGCCAGGAAATTCAAGGCTGTCCCTATTCCACTACTAGGTATTGCAGAATTGCAATCCTCAGGTAAATGTCTTAGTTTTATGCGTTAATATAATCATGACGTCACTCTGGGAATGATGACCATCCTTATGACTGAAGGCTGTGCAAGGCTTCCTTACGCAGCCCTTCAATTCTGAGCAACTTCATCTTCCAACCTGGAGCATCCCCTTCCTAAATCCAGCTTTACTTACAAGTTTGTCTGTCTGGTTTAAAAATCCAAAAATGGCAACTCTGTAAAGGAGTAAGATGCTCAGCGGATTACATCATTCTTCCATCATTCTTATTTGGGACATCTGGGTCAGCATTGTGTTGGGCTAAACCGTTGCAAATCTGATACCCAGTGAGAGATGTAAAATACTCATCTTTTTCAAGTGAATCCTTGAGCCTTTCACCCTGTGCCTCAGACAAGCTTGAGCCAAGTTAATGGAGGAATAGCAGCAAAAGCTGGGGAGGAGTCTACTGTATTTGTTTCCTGAGTTTGCATAGCTTTAAAAATCCTGGCCTTTGCCTTCAGGGAGCAGAGTCTGTTCTAATGCAGCCCCATTCTGTAGAGCCTGCTGCGCATTGCAGAATTTATACACACTCCTTGATGTGTAGGGAGTTGCACCAAAGGTGGATTTAGCCCACTGTTCAATGGCTTTGGCCTGTGGTGAAATGGCTTCTAAGCCGAAGGACAGTGGCCCCAATTCAGCAAAGCTTTTAAGGACATATCTAAGTCCAATTGATTCAGAGTTTGCAAGCATCAGTTTAAACTTGGTTGTGTTGGAGCCCAGGCTACCACTGACAAAAGGCCTGCACATTGATGCAGTTTCACTTGTGACCTCCTTAGAATTTCAGTGCAGCTTCAGGTCTTTAAAAACCTGGTTACAGCATGCAAATTCTGAAGTGTTAAAAGCCTTCTGACAAGTACATCGTGCTATTTAATTCAAAACTCAGATTTATCTAGAAATCAGCCATGCAACTTAAAGTGTGGGGGGGGAAACCTTTAGCAAGCACAGGACAAACTGTGAAAAAAATAAGTTTATAGTTCCTAATGATGCACACCAAACAGGATGTAATCACAGCTAAATAGCCATGCTCTTAAAATTGGCAGCCAAGTGCAAGCTTCTCATCACCCTCATCTTCAGAGCCCCAGCTTCTCAAGTCTGTTCACATGTAATTAATAATTGCTGTAATTATTAAAATGCTTTCTGGACTCACTCCAGCTGACCCATCTCCTTCCACTAACCGAGCACAGGACTGCTATTATTGCCGCAATCTCAAAACTGGTGGCAGAAGAGTTATCTTTACTGCTCCTGCTGTCTGGAATAGCTTTCCTGTGTATGTCTAACCTGTCTTGTACTTCCACTGGTGTCATCTTACACCATACTTGTACAGAACTATCGAGTATAGAGGTCTAAAGCTGCTGGGCCCCCCATAATACACAATTTTTTGGCTGCTGAGACTAAGATTATGGAAAAGTTTTACCAGTTATACCAATGTAACCCTCCATGTGGTCATTTATTATAGAATGAAAGAGCTCTTCTTAGGTTTAGCTTGTACTCGGCAAACTAAATTGGACAACGGGACATGCCTGTTCTTATTGCAGGATTGTTCTAGTGAAATCATCCTGGCTTAAATCTGCATTAGATAAATATTGAAAATCATTCCTGTGTAGTCACAGCCAAGGTTTGCAATTTACTTTTTTCTTTAAAAAAAAAAAAAAAAAATTCAGGTATTTGGCAGCACAAGCTCTGGGCGGTGTGAGCTGCTGTATTCCTTTTGCTGGGGTATTGGCACAAGTGCTAGTCATTCAGTGATAGGCTAATCACGTGGAAATCCCAGAAATCCAGGATATCATCCGGGGAATCCAGGACACTGCCCTGCTTCCCTGCCCCTCTTTCTGGCACGCTTGCAAGTCAGCAGGAGCAGGGCCGCATGCCTGCCTGCAAGGTGCTCTGCACCGCTCTAGCTCCTGGACAGACTGCAGCCTGTGCCTCTGTGTTTCTAGGACACCCATTATAATTCTCAACAGCCGGCTGAGACCAGCCTCTGAAATCTGGGAGTGTCATAACTAAACTGGAACATATGGTCACCTTATTCAGTGAGGAACAAGTCATTGTGCTCATCTGTCATTGACTGTAGTAGCAGATATTCAGGAAGTAGCAGAGCATTGGTGCCATCGTTGCACTGGAAAGGGAATTCATAGTTCAACTCTGCTTTCTCCAAAATGGAGCAGGGATGGAGTGAGTTGCTGAGTAGCCTGGGAGCATTTTAGGGTCATTAGAAGTGTATGAGAAATCAGTTCTACATAATGCTGGGCCCCTTGTAATTTAAATCTAATGTTCCGTGCAGGCAGTGTTTTGGGTTTGGATGCAGCTTCTGCAGAAAACATTTGCTGTACAAGTTCAAGTTCATTAATATTAGTCTTTCTCCGTTTAGGTTAAAGGACCTAGAGCTTGGAGAACTAGGGGGTTCTGGGGTCCACGTTAAGATGCTAGCCGCCCCCATCAATCCATCAGACATCAACATGATCCAAGGTAACTATGGTTTCTGTGGTTTCAGAGTTTATAAGCAAAAAGTTGGCTTTGCTTCCATTCCTGTTTGGAATGCCTGCTGACTAGCAACATGCTGTCAAATGAGCAATTACGCAAACAGACTGTAAGAATTTTAATGACGTTCCCTGTAGGTTTTTGTGAAAGATTTAGGCCTGCTTCCCGGTGTTGCTATGGTATAGGTCTGAGCTCATACAGAACAGAAGTTAGGAGATGCCTGTTGTTCATTATGCCTTTTGGTGCAATATGTTTATCATGGTTTGGCTTCTCTTCCAGGGACTTACGCCCTTCTGTCTGACTTGCCTGCAGTAGGAGGAAATGAAGGTGTTGGAGAAGTAATAGAAGTTGGCAATCATGTGACTTCTTTGAAGCCTGGTGATTGGGTAATCCCAGGAGATGCAGGACTTGGTGAGTTTGTACGCGAATATTTGGAGGCATATCTTGAGCTGGTGTTGCGTAATCCTAGCTCCGTTGACTTCAGTGGAGCGGTTGTGGTTCATATCAGCTGAGGATCTTCCCTGTGACTTTCCCATGGCCTCTTCCCCCTGCAGATCCCAAAGCTCGTTTATAAACGATCATAGGAAGTAGATAGGTCTCTCATTTATAGATTATCAGGGGAAAGTTGAGGGAGGAAAGATTCCAGCCTACCCATAGTATTGTAGTGAGTCTCCCATCCGACTGGGAATAGAACCGAAGAGTTCTGCTTTGTATCGCTGAATTGTAATATTGCCCAAATGTGTGAGATACACGTTACAGTTCTATCTGAGTCCATCCCACTGACCTTTTCACTCTAACAAACCTCTCTCTTTGCTAAATAACATACTTCAGAAAACCTTTCCTGTAAGAGGGTCTTTGTTTGTACTGTCCCCGAAAGTCACTCTGGATGTTCCCATGCTTTATCTAATCACTTCCAGTCACAAGTTAATTCCTCCTCGGGTGAGCGAGTGAGGTTCCAGAGGTGCTTGACCCCCCCTCTAACTTCCATTGCAGCTATTTGACTGAGGTCACACAGGAAACTTATAGCATAGCTGGGAATTGAACCTAGATCTCCTGAGTACCTAGTATGCTTCCCTAACCACAAATGTCTCTTGTGTTCTGCTTATACTCATATGTCTTGTCTTGTGAGTTAATCAGGTTGTGGGATTTTAAACTTGGAGGAGATACTATGCTCTGTAGCATAATTGTGGCTCTGATGTACAGTATTAGCTTGGTACACCCTTAGTCATGTGCACCGCCTGGTATGGGCAATTACATCTAATAGAATGTAATTTTTAAAAAAAATCGCCATTAGAGAATGTTCCAGACGAGGGAAGCAGTGGTTGGAATCCATTTAGTACCATATTAGGCTAATTGCAAATATCATAGGTTATATCATCTCAAATGAGAAGCATCTGTGTAGCCAGTGGCGTTTCACAAGACACTCTTAATTTCATATCTGTTTTTATGCTGCCTTAAACTGTGTTCTGATGTTTGAAACTAACACATGCTTATAGCTAGGGATCTAGGTTTTCCTTTTCCCATGGGAAGTGGAAAAAAACCATGGATTTTCTCTTTTACCTGAGAAAAATGTGGGGTTTTCACTTTGACAGAGAAACGCATGGATTTTGCTCTTTTGCAAAGAGCTCTCTGCAGGCTGGCAGAGTTCTAGCCTGCAAGGGACTGGGGGAGCAGGAGGAGGGCGGTCAGGCAGGGGGTGCCATGTACATGTACACACACGTGACCACCAGGCAGCCTGGAGAGCAGCTCCAGCAGGTAAGTTGGGGAGTGGGGGGAATTGAGGCCCCATAGGGAGGGAGGGAGTTAGGCAGGGCTCGGATGCTGCCCAGCTGGGCAATGCGTGGGGCTTGGGGCTCCAGGTCGCAATGTATGGTTGCAGGGCCTTGGTGGGGAGTGGGACAAGGACATGGGTGGCTCATGCCAGGGGTGACAGGGAGCTGGCTCCCTGCCACTGCACACACTCCCGGGGGCACATACCCCCCAGATCTGTGCATGGTGCGGGCTGCCCACTGCAGGCTCAGGCATCCCTCCCTAATGCCCCCCACAACCCAACAAGGACCCAGCATGGCAGGGCAGAGCGGGGCTGGGTGGGTAAGCTTGTTGCCGCCACTGTGAGTCCCACGCCACCCTAGCAAAACACCCCCTGCCTGCCCAGCAGCAGCAAGGGATGCAACCCCGTGCCACCGCCCCTGCTACAGCCAGGCAGGCTGGGGTGCTTTGCCATGGTGGCGCGGGGCTTGTGGCAGCAAGGAGCTTCCCCACCCAGCCCTGCTCTGCCCTGCCATGCCCACTGGGCTGTGGAGGCCCTGTGGGGAGTGCAGCAGGGCGGGGAGCCCAAGCCCACAACAGCCAGCCCGTACCCACCCCACACAGTTCTGGGGGGCACGTGCCCCCTGTCTCCTGGGTGTGCATGCAGTGGCAGGGAGCTCTGCTCCAGCTATGCCACCCACAGGGGAGGGGGAGCTGGGCTCTGTGCTTGGGCCGCAGCAGCTGCTATCTTCCACAGGCAGCAGCTGGAGGTCAGGCAGTACTGTTGGGGGCAGGAGGCTGCAGACCTGGGTCCCTTTGGGTGGGGAGGGCAGCAGCAGGGCAGTATTTTATTTGTGCATAACATTTCTGGTTTTTACCTGTTTAAAGACTGAGGCATGAAGAACAGGGTTTAAATAATCTTAGAGTTAAATTTATATCTTTGAATACATATCTTGGGTTATATGTTTAACAGCTTTCAAGTGACATTTTTTTTTTTGTACAGTATTATTTGGGCCCCTTGAAGTTTTCTGCCAGCATTTCCAATCCCATTTATTCTGATAACAGATTCAGCACCTATTTTATTTAAAGGCGGTTTTCTACATCATCAGGAAAGTGATATCAGTGAGGGCTCCCAGTTAAGAATCAAAGGGGGCTCAGTCACAAAGGATACAATGGGAAATAAAAGTACTTTTTGGCACAAATGAATATGGGGTGAATTCAGGTATCTGTGTAGGGGCTCCTGTCTCTAAATCACTAAGAGAACTGACTTTCCCAAAGTAGCCCATTTCTGGCTGTCTGGATATTGAAAAATTTCCTGAAGAGTAAAAGGGAACAGCTTCACAACGCATTTTTCTGTTTCATATGCCTACTGTTGCTTCGCTGTAGGCACATATATATGTGTCCCTATGGCGCCATTGTTACTGCACCATCATTTAGGAATTCCTTTTGGAAGTACACTAACAGCCTATGCTGTGCCATCCACATGACACAGTTATTTTTAACTGCTACATCATTGTAGTGACGCACTATACCGAGGGAGCGCATCACTACAGTGACGTAGCTGTGGTGTCACGGTTTTTGCCCAGTGATGCTATGCTGCTGTAGCACACTGCTATGGCGAAGTAGTATCGCATGCAGATGCACCCTGTAAGTAGAAGCTAAACCATGGTAATTTACCCCTTTTTCTCTGAGGGCTAAGCTGTCATGTTGGGGCTTCTGCTTACCGCAGTGGAGGAGCACAAACCAAGCAATGATCTCAGAGCAGCTGATGTATAGTAAAATCCCTCTTATCCGCCATAGTAATTTGTTTGTATTGCCATCTCCTATGATATAGCATAATTTTCATTAGTGGTATGCATTTAGTTTGCTCAAGCTGTGTCCAGGGTCATCGTGCCTCTGAGAGTGTTGTTTTTTATTTAGCCACATAAAACAGTGGTGCCCAACCTGCTGGTCCCACAGGCTGGATGAGTGCTTCTGAGTCAGTCCACGGGCGAGATCCTTTGTGGGGTCAGTGTGCAGGGTCAATCCATGCACCTGAATCCCACCATATGCCAGCCCAGTCTGGCACACAGGGCCACATTATCTGGCTCCTGGGGCTCCCTGCAGGTCTGGGAATTTATTAGCAGGGAAGCAGCAATTAATGCTGCTGTTGCCCCTGCTGCCAAATTGCTGGACCCTTGGGGAGCTCCGGTGGGGGGGATGATATGGCTTTGCAGGCTGGATCTGGCCTGCAGGCTGAAGGTTGAGCACCTCTGACACAGAATAATCTCCCTGATACCGAGATGCTGCAAACCGTAGTTCTTTCTGCAAGTACGTAGTCATAGAAGGGCAGGGTTGAAGTAATTGGATTCGGCTTCATTAGTAGAACAACTTCCAGCATGTTTTAGAATGGTGGGCTGGCTCTACCTGAAAGCCTCAAACTGCTCCACAGCCATTCACTGCTAATCTGGACTGAAAAATCTTTATGCACTCTGGATTATATCGTTGCCATAAGGGCATCTTGAATCTCGCCTTAAGAGTTGGCGTAGTCAGTTAGGGCACAGAGAGATGTGCAACTTTCAGCTGTAATTTAGGAAGCTTCATAGAAAGGGGCAAGCGGGGGCAGGTGGATTGGAGCCCCCCACCTGTGGGGGGCTCCAGTTCACCCACCTCCCCCTTCCAGCACACCCTGGGCAAACCCCAGAACGGAGCTCCCTCCCCCTTCTCCCCATCCATCCTGACGACAGCACCGGGGGCGCAGCTGGGCTGCATCAGCCCATCCCTGCCCCACCTCCCCTGCCCCCGGGCAGGGACAAACAGAAGTTAATAGCTATCAGAAGAGTTTAGAAAGATGGAGGTAAACTGAGCAAGTAACTAATGGACTAACATGCTCAGGATGGATTTTCCCCATAGCTCCACTTTGGAGCACCTTCATCTGAACCCTCATTAAATGTGGATTAATTTGTCACATGATCAGTCACTTTTAAAGCACTCTGCAGCCATGCACTTCTGTCAGAGCATGGTTGTAGAGCGCTTTCAAGGGGCTGATCCACAGCAAATATCACTTCTGTCAGTGCCCTTAGTGTAAAGGACCCGGAAAATATGGAAGTCCTTGGTCCAGTCCTAGGTTTTCACTGGTTAAGATGTGTCCTTCTGTGAGGTTGTACAAACTCCTTTTACCTCTGTCCACCCAGAGGAAAATCCTTCAAACCAGATGCTGTATCAAAGTTACCTGTGCAAGTCAGCTGTGCCAAAACATTCTTCCAGTGATGGAGCAAAAACAGAGTTATACATCAGTCATGAAGCTGCTGATGGAGTAGATGGTAGGCAAAGGATAACACACATCACAAAGAATTCCAAAAGCCGGTGAAGGAAACCACATGACTACAATCATGTTATCTATCCTGTTGCATCCAAAAACAAAGTAGCATCCAGCTGGGGACCTTGGAAGTCTCGCATTGACCACATAATACAGACAGTGTGGTGGCACTTTCAAAAATGCTTTGAGAATGCAACTTGGGCTCCTAAGGTATTTATGCTGTCCCCCAGATCCCATCCTCTGATCTTCTGTAGTCTGAAGAAATGTGCTCATAATGGCAACTCTGCCATCATTTCAGTCCATGGACTCTTTTGTGGGGAAAGGATATTGTAGGACGTTACTTCAGTGTTTAAATATTTTAGGTGCCATTAAATAGGAAGTTCAGGCCAGTGCTTTCCCTTGCAAGTGATATCAGAGGAAAGCCTAACACTTGTAGCTTGTGGTAAAATTACCATATTTTCTTAAATATTTCATGTCCTGGAGCAAAATACACCCCTTGTTTTTGAAAGGCAGGATGAAGAAAAAAAGATCTTTCCTTGTAGTAAGGAACAGAGTAGCAGCAGCAGCAAGGGAGCAGTGCCTGCTCATTGTTCTGCTCCTTGTGGGTCGTGTACAAAATTTTCTTTCACTTTTGCCAATGCTAGCAGAAATGGGTCTTACCCTATTTCTCACACACGTTGCTCACTAAAATTTCCAGCAATTGGTTTTGAATGGAGGGGTGGGGGTGGTATGCGAGACAATACAGTACCTCTGCATGCAAATTTGTACTTGGGACTGTAGCTGGTATTAACTCATGCCTGAAGAATGTTAGCCTCCCAAAAGGGTGATGGTGGGGGGGAGGGATGTTGACATTATTGAAAAAAGGACGGTATTTATTTTTGGTAGTAGTTAAGACTGTGGTGCCAAGATGAAAAATGCGTCTTCGCTTTACTGAACTAGAACATTGCACTTGATTAAGTGGTCAGTTTAAGGTTTTATATCCTTAATTTTCTTTGCTTTTATGGGCTTGGATTTTTGCGAATAATAGGTAGTTACGTTGCTCCTAGCTAACAATCTTAACTGTGATGTGTTCTGTTTTAAGGCAGCCTTTATCCTTTGGCGTTACGAAAGATAATAGTTGTCTTTTTCTTCTTCCTCAGCTTTTTGTGCACACATGGGTTTCTAGGATAAATTAAAATGTAGCTGAAATGGACGGATAACTAAGTAGGAGTGAATTTGCTGACCCAGCCAATGCCCGCAGCAGCAGAGCTGTACCTTCTCCAGCGCTCACCAGACATGATGTGTAATTGTCTAGGGAACACGCGTTAGCAATACACAGATCTTGTTGGGGGGAAAACCCCATCCTGAGCATTTTAGTCTATCCGTTACTTGCTCAGTTTACCTCCATCTTTCTAACTCTTCTCATAGCTTATATCAAACTTGTCTTTTAAACCAGGAACGTGGCGAACAGATGCAGTGTTCACGGAGGAAAAGTTGATGAAACTCCCAGGTGACATCCCTTTGCTCTGTGCTGCCACTCTGAGTGTCAACCCCTGCACAGCCTATCGGATGCTATCTGATTTTGAGACCTTGGGGCCTGGTATGTGGTAAAGCTGTACCATGTATGCTATACTATGTCTCTCAATGTATGGCTGACTTTTATACTCCGAGAATCTTAACCTTAAACAGCTTAGAAGAAATTAATCTATGCAGTTCACTGTATAGCTATGCGCAGAATATACCAATAAAAGTCTGATTTCCCATGTATGGAAAATCTGACCACTGAATATTTAAAGTAGGGGTGTGGGAGTTTGGGCTCTGGATGCTATTTCTGGCTCTATCACTGTTGGTCATGTCTCTGTACCTGCTTTCCTAGCTGATAATTTGAGGAGACGTTTGTAATGTGTACTGTGATAATAACCAGAAACCCTGGTTATAGACCAGGACCCTGTACAGACACTGCATGAAAGTGCAGTCCCTGACTGGCAGGGCTTTTGAGTTGATGTTAAGCTAGTGTTTGCAAAGCACTTTAAGATCCTTGAATGAATGACTCTGACCACAAGGCCAGGTTGTTATGATTATTGTCATATGACCTTAAGCACACAGCTCTGGAAATGGTGGCCTAAGGTGATCTGGGTTTCTGTACTTCATCACAGGTGATTCTGTTATCCAGAATGCAGCCAACAGTGGTGTAGGACAGGCTGTCATCCAGATCGCAGGAGCCATGGGCATCAAAACAATCAATGTTATCAGAGACAGGTGTGTGTGTAATGGGTGCTGATTTATAGACTTTGTTAAAACTGGGTCATTTGTTTAACATTGTCCTAATCTGACAATTTCTTTACTTTTTCTGTATCCTGAATTGTTCAGTTGCCCTGTTTAAAAACCAAGTCCCCCTTCCTTCTATCCTGTTTTCTACTGTATCTTTTCTACTGCATCTTTTCTACTGATCACAGGAGGAAGCTGGACCTACAGTGCTGTGTGATAGCCTAGTGAGGGTAGATCCAGCTGATTGATTTAAAGTGTCTGCTTATCCTTCTGCCTCAGAAGTTTCATTGTAATTGCTTTGGTACAGACCTTCACTAGGGTACCCCCACTCCTACTGAGACTAGGCTGTGGAAAGAGGTGGGAAGGAAATGCTTCCCACATGTGGGAAATGCTCTCCCACATGTTTGAGCAGGATCATCACCCTTGACCTGCACCTGCTTTTATCTCATCCTTGTTCTACCTGTTTAGGCCAAGAATCTATATTGTAAACCTTGTTGGTGCCTCCTGATGATGGAAAGATAACATTTTTGTGTGGATGGGCAGGGGTCTCTGTTCAGGTAGCTGAATCCAACAGTGGCTGCCTTTCACAATTGATCTCCCCCTTCCTCCCTGAATGCTGCTACCTGTCAAACAATTAGCAAATGGCATCAAATCTCTCCCTTTTTGAAGATGAGCTGTTAAATTGCAGGTGGGAACAGGGTGTATCTTAATTCTGACACTGACAGCTTCCAAGGGATTTTTAACTCTGAAGGACTAGCCGGTTCCCAGGGTCTGCTAGAGTTCCCCCGCACTAACCCTTGAAGTAGAATGAAAGTGAGAAAATGGATGGCAAGGAAAGGGTGTTGCCTGGTGTCTTGTATCTGCTCCCCTTCAAGGTCTGCTTGATATGTTTGCTCCTCTCACATTGCTGCTTGTCCTCTCTGCTTCTCATCAGAAGGTAGGATCTATCACAGCTTAGTGCAACAACAGCAGCTGATGCTGGTAGTGAGCAACTCCTGCTCTGTGACTGGTAACCAGCTCCTTGTCTGCTCAGTAGGAGCCCTGTTCTGTAGCACTAGGGAGCTGTGAGGAAGTATCCAGGAAATAGCATTTCTTGCTTAAGAGCAGCTTGAGCCATTGTCTGAAACCAGTGCCAGAAACTTTGCAGAAGAACATGGTTAGAGAGGATGGGTGTTGACAGGAGAGAAGTGGAAGACTACACCGAGCATAAGGGACAGCATGAAATAAAACAAGGAACAGAATGAGGGTGGAGATATCATGAACATTTCTCCAGGAGGCTGCTGGAGGCCAGAGGTGCAGGGAGGTTTGGACAGAGTGCACAGTCTTGGCCAGGAATACTGAGGGTTTGTATCAACCTCGTAGTTGATACAGAAGGTGAGAAAATTTATTGAAGAGATGTTAGGAGAGGGCAGAAGCAACATGGTTCAAAACAGGATGAGAGGAGGAGAAGAGGAAAAAAAAAATCCCTCAAAAGAGCTTGTACTACCAAACATGTTTGGGTCTTGTAGGGGGACACCTTGCCTTGATATGGACTGAGCCCTGTTTGTTTATCCCATGGTGGGAATTAGTTAGATTAGGGGTTTTCAGCCAGGGGTACGCATACCCCTGGGGGTACTTTGGAAGGCCCCAGGGGGTACATGGCAGCAACGTGGAGAAACTAATGGCACTTCTGGTTTCGCTGCCACGCATGCCCCCTCCTTCCTCCTCACCCCCCCGCTCCCCACCCACCCAGTCAACCAGCCACCGGGGGGTACCCTGACTAAAAAAGGTTGAAAACCCGAGGTAGGGTTTAGTTATACCTTTATAATACAGAAAACTGAGATCAGCTAAATCAAAGGGCCCTGCAGAGCTGTGCACATCTGAGCTTGTGGGGAATGGAGGCCAGGGCTTTCTGTCTGTCTTATTAGACTCCTTCTGTTTGTCCTTTGCTCAGACCTGACCTCCAAAAACTGGTAGATAGACTGACGGCACTTGGTGCGGACTACGTCATCACAGAAGAGATGCTGAGAAAGCCAGAGATGAAAGAATTATTTAAGGTACCTTACGGCTGGTCTCTTCAGCAAGAAGAATTACAGTAGGGAGGCAGGAGAGTAATTCCTATTACCCAGAGCCAATATGGGGACATCTTTGGTGGGCAGACTGTCACCTGCTAGGCTTTTGACCTCAGTGATATTCTCTGACCATGAGTTCCAATAGGTGTAAAATAAGGTGTTTCTTTTGATCCCTTTGACAGTTGCCTGTCAGTTTTCTTGAGTGCCCCCTTGTTCTTCTTTGGGCAGGATGGTAACTTGGAGTGCCTGGCCAGCTCTGCACCTTTTGGTATTTTTTGACTTGTCAGATCCTTCTTATTTGTCTCCTTTTCAAACTGAACAGCCCCACTCTTCAGCCTCTATTCATCCCGAGTCTTTCCATGCCTTGACTTGCTTATCTGTTTCTGGACCCTTGTGATGTGTCTGTATCTTTGAAGTGAGATGACTACAATGGAAGTGCCAACGCTGACACCGATGTGGTGCCAGTAGATGTACTACAGGGACAACGGCAGGAAGAAACTAGATAGGACTTTGCATATGGGTCTCATATCCAGATTCTCTGATTTGAAATGTCCCACTGCTTAACATATAGACACCACCTCCTCTTCCAGGGTGGTGTTTCACTTATGCCCCTCTCTGACTCAGTAGGTTGCCCCAACTGTTTTGGAGCTGGTCTTCATTGCTGTTGCAGTGCCAGGAACATAAATCTGCTTCAGCTACAGGCCTGAGCTACCCTTGAATAGAGCAGCCTTTTTGGAACTTGCCTTGCTCTATAGTCAGAGTCTCCACCCCATGAGAAGGGAATCTTGGAATTCAAGAGGAGCCTTTTTTAATGTTTCTGGATGGAGAGAAATGCGACTGGGGAAGGGGGAGTTGAGTTTTTTCCTTGTCTTTCTAATTCTTTTTAGAAAGTCCCAAAGCCCCGGCTGGCTCTGAACTGTGTTGGAGGGAAAAGTGCTACTGAGATGTTGCGCCTTTTACAGTAAGTTCAGCTGTTTGCTGCCTCTATTTGAGTGGTGAGCCTTATTTTTGGTATTAAAAAGAGAGCCCGTTTCAAGTACTGGCTTGTTCCAGAGTTCACTAGGACCAGTGGAAGTGGAGGTAGCTGCATCTAATTATCTTGCCTTAGTCACTTTTTTCAAAAACTGAAGGGTGATCCTTGGAAGCTTAGAAATTGAAGAGCTCCTTGCAAATCTAGGAAATCTTCTTTCCTGATGATGCAAACTACTATTTCTGAAGACTGTTAAGAGTTGAAAGGCATGTCCTTTCAAGACTAGTCAGAATCCTATTGGGATCTGTCATTGTATTAGCGAGCTGGGGGAGAGCATAGGATCTCGTACCACCAAATGAGAATGTCAGCTTTGTGAGGAGGAGGGAGAAGTTAGAATGCAAGCAAGCAGTAATGTATTTGAAAGAGTCCCAGGTGGTAGGGATGATCCCTGTCTGTATCTCTAAAGATTTAGGTTTGTTGGAATGCAGGCCAGGCGTATTAAATGTGTGTAGTAGGAAAGATCATTAAAAATGTGATGCCTGATTTTGCTTGCAGGCATAAAGGGACCATGGTTACATATGGTGGAATGGCAAAACAACCTGTGACTGCCCCCGTGGTAAGTGAGTGTGGTGTTTGTGGCATATCTTACACTGATGTCACATAACACTTGCACTATAGTGCTGAGACTGTCGTGCATAAGACACACTGCCTATAATTTCCAGGTACCCTGAAGGTCCAAGCAGTGCGCATCCCACAATTATTAAGTGCTCTCTAGCTCCCTATATCCTTTTTATTTCCCACTGAGCAGCACTGCTGCTATTGTGACAGGAGGAGACTGTGCTTTAGACTTCCTTCAGGCCAAGCCTCAGACACAGCCTGTCTGTTCTTTAAATGAAGATACAGGGTCTCTTAGCCAGCTGGGAACATTAGAAGAATGAGCCAGCTCTTGTCTGTTTCTGGTTCCTGGGGTTTGGGCAGATGTCTGTCCTACTCTTGCCAGTGCATAGGGAGCAATTTGCTCTGGCATGAAACCCCAACCATTAAAAGTTATCACTTCAGCATCTGTCATGCAGATCCTCACTACAAATCACTTTCACTCTGTCACACACATATCAGGGCAGCACGTGAACAGCAGATTGCTCCAATGCTGGTGCTTTCGCTGGCCTGAGGTTTGGCTGGTGAGACACTTACCTTTCACCCTCCTAGTCCTCAATTCTGCATCTTCTCAGCACTCTCATAGCGACAGGTCTTTGTCTTCTCAGCACTCTCATAGGGACCTGGTGCTAATGCAGTTTTAATACGAATTTTTAAATGTAGTGTTAAATCCCTTGCTCCCAAAGAGCCTGGAACAGCAGGGGCATGGCTGTATAGGAATTATTACTTGTGACCTGAAGGAATTGCCTCTGGCAAGAATCCAATAACTTTGTGGCTCCTGTTTACTGTCCAGCATCATGTAAAAGTAGAAATTTGAGTTTCCTGAACTTTGGGCTCACTCAAGCTCTAACAGCAACAGTCAGTGAGTGGCAGGGATGCAGAAATGCAGAACAGCCCC